TCCCCCCACTAAAGGACCTGGTCCTACAGTTCTCCAATCTCAGGTTCCGGTTCGAATTCAGCCTTTCATGTAATACCATCGAAGATCACTGCTACTCTCCAATTCGGGACTTGCCAAGCAGGTTCCAGAATCTTCTCGTTCCTCGGTATTACCAACACTACTGGGACATCCTATATCCGCTCGGCAGTATGCAGACACCCGACAGTAACAACTTTCCAATACAGAGCATTGATGTGACCTGAGGTTACAGGTTAATCTAAGCCCCAACTTAATGAAGATCTGTTACCATAACGCAAGCCTATTTTTCAAACTTTCATTGTCCGTGGGATTTGAACCCTAGTCCTGCTACTTGGAGAGGGTAATGACTTAACCACTTCACTAAGCTGCCACACCTCAATGTATACGTATATATTTTAATTGCTATATATATATATATATATATATTTAATTAATTTATAATTATATAGCAAGTAATGTATATAAAGATCTTATGTGTATTATTGAATATCCAAACTTTTGCCCTGAATATATAATTAAAAATATTAGACGGTTAAGGTCGTTAAGTAGCCGACTTCCTCTCCAAATAATAAAGTGTCACCAAGTGCTGATCCAGAACATGAAGACACCATCAACATCTACACCATGCAAGAATTCTTACACTATATCTATAAGCGAGCATATTAGAAGAGTCTTAGGTAGTAGGAGTTTACGATCGCAGATATACTTCGGGCCTGGGATCGAAGCTGAAACAAAATCTGAGTTTTGGCACAGGAATATCTGGCAGAAATCACTCCTTTTTGGCCCATCCTCAATTCAAATAGATAATGGTAAAGCCTATAATATATTTACAAATAATAGTATATATGTATTTGTTAGCATAATATAAACAATTTTTATTAACAATAATTACATAATGTTTAGAATTATATATAATAGAATCTTTTATTAAATACAAAGATAAAGAAACAAGAGTTGGAAAAATTATAGCAATAGTTTTGACTTTGGATAGTATCAAATTAAAGATTCAACAACTTTATTTTGGCTCCGAATTATCAAGGATATTTGCAAGTTCAATAAGAAAAGAGTAAGCAACGAATGGGAAATTATGGTTAAGCGAAATAACGTATTTGACCAATCTATTTAATGTTAGTGAGCTAGTTATGGTTTGGCTTCATGATACTCCTGAGTTATCTAATTATCAATTTTATATAAGAGAAATTTTATATAATTATGATGGCCAGTGGAAGATAAGAGACTGTAAACTGCGGCATCTTCATCCAATTGAATATACTCAACTTCCAATACCAGCTCCTCATAATGTACCTACATTAAAACTAATGTTGGACATTTACTATGATGACTTTGGTACATTTCATAACGTATATCATTCCTTGGGCAGATTTTATCTCCAATTTTGTAATATGCCCTTACAGTTAAGGCAAAAGCTTAAAAATTATTTTGTTTTAGGCTTTGTTTCATTCAGAGGAGAGTTTGATGATTTAATGAAACCAATCATCAATGAAATTAAAAATTTAGAAAAAGGCACTTTATTGAATATTGCGGGTCAAGATATATAGGTAATTGCTACTCTGGGTGTTATAACTGCTAATCTCTCACAGGGCAACGATCTTGCGAATACAAAACATCATAGTGGTAATCAAGGATGTAGAAGTTGTTTGGTACCTAAAGAATGATTAAGTGATATTGGTTTTGATATTAAGTTAAATACCAGATATCATCATATAACAAATAAAAAAATCGATAAATTAAAAGAATTAATACAAAGAGGGGTATCACAAAAAACAGTTAATGACTACTGTACAGAGCATGATCTAAGTGAACACCAAAGCATTTTGAATTATCTAACACGAAATCGGCATTTACAAACACCTCAGGATGCGTATTATGCTGTAGCTGGGAAAATACAAAGGCTAATAGACTGTACATTTTTATTATTAAGTCAAAGAGAAAAATGCACTTTTTTAAATTATTGAAAAAACTTTGAAATACCATCTGGCTGGTCACAACTCCCTAACCCAATCAAACACCTTAACAGTTTCATGTTTTTTGACTGTTTATGATTAGCGATAATAATGCCATTCTTATTGCGAAGGTTCTTAACAATATCATATATCAGAGATACTAATTTGGCTTTGTTGTAGAGGCAATTTACAACATCAAACATATGACTATCATCTACACAAATTGCAAACAAAATCATTTCCTGCTGGGTAGCTGTTGCGAAGGTATCACGCTTAAGCTTCAGTGTTATATTTACTAACCAAACATATATAGAACTAGAAGAAGCTCTAAAAATTGAGCATATTCTCCTACTAAAGGTGAGTATCATTTCTTGTAATTCTGTATGTACGTATGTATATATGTATATATATGCATATGTAGGTTTTAATTTTTTTTATTAAAAGGTTATATTTAACTATTCAAAACTTTACTTGAGGATATAACAAAATGACAATTGTCCCTTTAAATCCTTAAAAAATCAAGTGGTTTTTAACAATGATGAGAAAGGCATTTATTTTCTATTGGTGCAATATGAAACATAATTAATATAATTTTTGTTATTGTATTTTAGCTTTTTCCAGATAATTTCAATAATTTGCCAAATTTATATATAAACTGACATCATGTTCAAAATGCTCACAACTTTGGAACGCTTGTAAATATCTCTGTAGGAGTAAAGGAAGCAGTACATAAAATATTCAAAAGTTCTGTTTCAAAAATGAACTGCAAAAATATAGAATTTGATCTAATTCGACGACATAATACACTACAAACGATTTGTTATTTGATCAACGAAGGCAAAGATAGCCACTTTCAATATATTGGACAGGGTTTTCGAAAATTTACAAGTAACCTATTTCTTCAACCCATATTATCAGATTGGTATATGACACATGATTTTCAAGAAGATATAGCTGATATAAGTAAGTATATTAATTTTCGGTTACTGGGACTCCAAAATGAAGAAAATAAATACGTATAAACTCTAAGGTAATATTTATGTATATAATTACTAATCGATTTAAAAATTATCTAGCGCTAACACTATATAACAATAGACAGTTTTTTAAAAAAAGAAATAACTTGAGGTAAAAGGTGTTATATATATCAGCATGGGCATTTTTGTTTTACATACTATAGGTGATGTTTCTTCACATATTTCTAATTTTAATAACACTCTAAATATCTAACCTTTATATATTTCTAAAAGGATTCTTTTTATACCCTTAATAATGGTTAACCTACGACCTTGAAGTTTCAGTGACCAAAAATTTTACGTAGTAATATTATTATTAACATAATAATTGAAATTCTTTATTGCAATAGGTACAAATATCACATCACATGATGATAAAATAAGAAACATTAAAACAAGAAAATGTCTATCAAAAAACGAAATTCAAAAACTTTTGCTACCTGTAAAATTTGATGACAATCTTCAGTTTACTGATGACATTATAATCGCATATGATATTTATATGGGGAAAAAGGCAGCTTTAATATATAGGCATGTAGAATTTTATAAACAGATAGGATATATTTTATTAAATGACAATGCTACATTAAATACATATGTAAATTTACATTATAGTGACATAGTGCAAATTCACGAAGAAAACGGTCTATCATATGCTATATTGAGGTGACTATTTACACATAAATATAATGATGGTATAGTATATTCATTTATTTGAGTTGACTGGTTACGGGAATTCTCAATAATTAATTCAATTCTTCAATGTCTAGTTTATGAAAAACAAACGGCTAAAAACACACGGTGGCACTGAGTCTACCTAGTAAGTCTTATAGACAATTTACTGAAGGTTCATTTTGTACATCGATACCATTCTACATATATTTCAACTTCACATGATTTCTCAAATAATCAATATGTTAGAAATGAATTTTATTATAAAGCAATTTAAATAATACAAATTGCGTCAAAGAAAAAAAAATTTGAATTTTGTTTTTTTTATTGATTTTATTTATTAATTTCATTCATATCCATGTTAATTTAGTTTGTAAGTATAAAGACATTTATTAATTTAGGTATTTATAATAAGTATTTGGGGAATGATACAATATTTACTATTTAGCATTAATTTAGATCCTCGAGCCATTTAATTCCGGCGAAAAAAAAAAGAAAAAAAAAGTATAAAAAAAAAAAATAAAAAAAAAGAAAATAAAAAAAAGTAAAAAAAAAAATAAAAAAAAAGTGATTCCATTTTTTTTTGCACAGAACCTTGTGATTTTTGGAAGTAAGTTATATCACTATTCATCGTACAGTTTATTAACGTATGTACGTGCGTATATAATTTATATAGTTTATATAGTTTATTAATCGCTTGAAAATTTTTCTACCATTACGTAGTGAAAAAAAAATGTTTAATTAGTACATCATTGTGATGATCCTGTGATACTTTTTAAATTGATAACACTTACCTGATAACAGATACTATTATTTCGTTTTGTGAGTGTATTCGTTTTGAATTTAGAATTTTATGTATTTATATATGTTCAGAAAATATTAATTATTCTATTAAAAGACGAAATTAACGAAAATAAGAAGGGGCTTAAAATGTTTGCTGATATGTATAAATAACTCTAACGGAACATATCAAGTTTGCCATTGTTAATATTTAAGAACTGAGGATCTAAAAAGATGGAGGTAACGAAAATAAGAATAATTTTAACAGAACGTATCAAGTTATTATTTAAGGATTAAGGATCTAAAAAGATAGAGATAACATTATCAAATATTTTGTTTTAAAAATGTAACAAGTTGACTATTGTTATTATTTAAGAACTGAGGATCTAAAAAGAATAATTCCAACGGAACGTATCAAGTTGACCATTGTTATTATTTAAGAATAATTTCGATGGAATGTATCAAGTTGGCCATTGTTATATTTAAGGATTGAGGAGCTAAAAAGATATAAGTAACGAAAGTAACATGCTTTTGTTCTTAATGTAATATGTAAGCTGACTATTGTTATTATTTAGAAACTTGAGGATTGAAAGTTTTAATATGAATAATTTTAATGCAATATATCAAGTTGGACATCGTTATTATTTAAGAATTGAGGAAAGTAGAGTATTTTTTGTTCATTATCAAACGTTTGCTGATATGAATAATTTTTAATGTAATGTGTAATCTGACTGACTATTGTTATATTTAGAGACTTGAATATCAAGTGTTTCTGATATGAATAATTCCAATGCAATGCACCTAGTTGGCCATTATTATTAAAGAATTGAGAAGTTAAAGGATCAAATGTTTGCTAATATGAATAATTCTAACGGAATATATCAAATTAGCTATTATTATCATTTAGAGCGTGAGGAGTTAAAAAGATCAACTGTTTGCTGATGTGAATAATTCCAATAGAGCATATCAAGATGGCTATCGTTATTAGATAATACTTAAGGAGTTAAGAGATGGAATTAAAGAAAGCAAGGTATTCTGTTCATTATAAGTGTTTGCTATTAATCATTTTTATAGAACATATCAAGTTGGTTATTGTTAGATTTAGAGACTTGAGGATCAAACATTGCTAATGAAAATAATTCTAATAGAATGTATCTAGTTGGCCATCATTATTATTTAAGAATTGAGGAGTTAATATTTGCTAATATGAATAATTCTAACAGAACATATCAAGTTTGATATTATTATTTAGAAACTAGAGGAGTTAAAAAAATCAACTGTTAGGGTGTGGCGACATAGTGAAGTGGTAGAGTTGTCACCCCCCAAGTAGCAAGGTCTAGGGTTCGAATCCTACTGGTGACGAAAATTTGAAAACTACTCCTTGTATATCCCTTCCGGATATGTCAACTTAATCTGT